GACATAGTTGTTGTTGTTAGGTGCCAATGAGTCAGTACCAACTCATAGCGACCTTATGCACAGCAGAACGAAACACTGATTGATCCTGGTCCAATCTCACTACTGTTGCCACGCTTGAGTCCATCAATGCTGCCACTTTGCCAATCCATCTCGTTGGGGGATTTTCTCTGACCCTCTACCTTACCAAACATGATATTCTTCTCCAGTGACTGGTTCCTCCTGACAGTATGTCCGAAGTATGAGAGACGAAGTTTGGCCATCTTGGCCTCCAAGGAGCACTCTGGCTGCACTTTGTCCAAAACAGATCTATTGGTTCTTTTGGCAGCCCATGACACTTTCAGTATTTTCCTCCAACACCATGACTCAAAAGCATCAATTCTTCTACGGTCTTCCTTATTCACTTATTTCACAAGCATATGAGGTTACTGAAAATACTATGGCTTGGGTCAGGCGCACCTTAGTCCTCAAGCTGACATCTTTGCTCTTCAACACTTTAAAAAGGTCTTGTGTAGCAGATTTGCCTAATGCAATACTCCGTTTGATTTCTTGACTGCTGCTTCCTTGTTGATAGTTGATCCAAGAAGAACGAAGTCCTTGAAAACTTCAATCTTTTCTCCATAGGACACAGTTGTTGTCATGTGCCACAGAGTCGGTTCCGACTCAGTGACCCTGTACAGGGTTTCCGAGGCCATAAATCTTTACAGGAGCAGAAAGCCTCATCTTTCTCCCGTGGAACAGCTGGTAGTTTCGAATTGCGGACCTGGAGGTTCGCAGCCAGATTCATAAACCTCCCAATAGTTTCCAATGCTATAATCTTTAAGAAAGCAAGTTACCACATTCTTCTTCCTTTCAGTGGACCACCTTTAGGTTAGCAGCCTAGTACCTAACCAGTGTAGAGTCCTGGTGTGGCGCTGTGGATTAATGCGCTGGACTGTACAGTCCGGTCAGCTTGAAGCACAACATTGGCAGTTCAAGCTCACCAACTGCTCCTTGGAAACCCTATGAGTTGGATCCACTTAACAACTTAACCACTGTGTCACCAAGGTTTCTTCATCAAGAAGCAGTTCCTAAAAACATTATTTGTATATATTCACATGGCACTGTAGGATCAGCACTGGACTGTACAGTTCAAATCCACTAGCTGCTCCTTAAAAACCCTCTGCAGGGTCACTATGAGTCGGAACTGCAGAAAGGAATGTGAAAAACTGCGCATGATAGGACGAGTGCTTTTTTTTTTCTTCCCCCTTAAGTGTACTTCTGTTTTTTTCCTACAATGAGCTTTTAAAACACAGTAATGAAAAAGATAAAGTCATGTCAATATCCCGCTTAAAAACCCTTCAAACGCTCCCACTACATCGGGCTTCGGTCCAAAATCCATGGCACTCTAACGCCCTTCTTGAACGGTCCTGCCCTTTCTCCTCATCCCCTTCCGATACCTTACTCAAAAGTTCCCTTAGGACCCAACGCTTTTTGGTACCTCAGTTCCCTCTGCCCACCACGCCCTCCCACCGCTCTCAAGGCCCAGCAATGTCCCCGCACTCCTCCCTGAGCAGCCATAGGGCCGCCGGCGGGCGGGCCCGCTTCCTCGTGCAGGGGGTGCGCACGGAGACTCCGGGGCCCCCCAGTACACCGCGTGACCGCGCCCCGAGCCTGCGCGTGGGGACCGGCAGGGAGTCACCGAGCTGCTAGCAGGAGCTGGGCCGCAGCATCCTAGCGGGACTGGAGCCTCTAAGCTCCAGGATTGGGGTTCCAGGAGGTTTTCTCCTAGCCGGACGAGATGGGGCTTGCCGGCGGGACCCGCTCCAGCCTCACCTTGGAGCTGCTCACGAAGCGGACTTCCACGGTAACCCGGGCCCGGCCCGCCACGCCCACGCAGAAAGAGAACACGTCGCACATGGAGGCCGCCATCTTGGGGGCGCCGGCGCCTCCGCCTCCTGACCCTTGACTCCGCCTCGACCTGAGAGGCCCCGCCTCTCGCTAGCCCCTCCCCTGTCGATAGTGCCCAAGAGGCCGGAAGGGTATGTGATCTGGCTAATCAAAATGTAGGTCCCTTTTGTTTTATGTGTTTCGGTTGCTTGGTTCATTGACTGTGTAACTGGGCCTGCCTTTGTACTGTCTTCATAGTATGTGTACGTGCCTTGTTTTTGACGTTTCTATGTCGGAGTCCTTAGTGGCACAGTGGGTTGTGTTGGACCCAAAGGTCGATGGTTCAAACCCACCAGCTGCTCTGTGGGAGGAAGATAAGGTTGTCTGCTCCTCTAAAGATGGTGTCTCCGATACCCTAAGGAGCAGTTCTACCTGCCCTCTAGTGTCTTTATGAGCCAGAACCAACTCCATGGCAGTGGGTTTAGTGAGATGTCTGGAGTCCAATTCAGCCTCAACCTGAAGCTCATCTTGGGCCTCACTGACCCTTCCCGGCCATCCTATAAACTTGGCATTGGAGCAGCCCTATGGAAGATCAAGCTGGGCTTTTGCATCTCTGGCTTTCCAGTGTCAGTCAGCCTGGGGCAGGGTGGACAGGTCCATAGTGTCCCTCAAGAGATCTGAAGACCCCTGAAATTGTATGCAGAATTGAGTGTTTACTAAGTATACTATTCTGACTTAGATCAGCAGATCAGATGCCTGTTCTCATTCAGAACCCCAAAATGCTGCAAACCATTGTCCCCATAGCCTAGACTCATATGACCACCTCTTTTTTTTTTTTTTTTTTGAGGTGGGGAGATGTACACAAAAACACTCGGGATATATAATAATTTAAACAACCAAAGGGCACATTCTGCAAGTCTGCCTCCTGGCCACCAGCATTCAATCCCTCTTTTTCCATGAGTCTAGAGTCCTCAGCTGCTCCCTCTCGCCATGTCCTCATCTCTGCCACATTCCTCTTGTGCTCTTCTCCTTTGATGGACCTAGGGTTCTGTGTTTCTGGATGACCACCACATCTTGTTATGATTTTTCCTTGCCAGTTGTTTGATTCTGTGCTTCTTGAAAAGGCATCTGTGTTAGCATCTACTGTGGTCTCATGTGACATTCAGAATTTGGGTGAAGCTCAGAAATTGCAGAATAGGTAGCTGACTTCCTGGAAGAGGCAGAAGGCTTTAATTAATAGAATTGGCATTAAGTCCAGCATTAGGAAGGTTTACCCTGAAGGAGAGAGACAGAGAAGGGTTCCTTAAGCCATTCCCTGGCCTCCCCTTAAGTCTGCAACCTGGTGTCCCCAGAAAAGGATGGTCCAAAGTCTTAAGGGCAGAGGGTACTTCCAAAGCTATCTGCTCCCTGCCGTCTTCAGGGAGAACAGCTGAGGACAGTGCCCTCTCCCACCACTAGGTGGCAGTCCCGGCCTCTTCCCACTACAGACAGGAGTAAGTCTTCACCTAGATCACCAGATTCTGAAGCACTACAGAGACAGGGCCCAGAAATGTGGAGCTCTGAAAACGCTGGTGGCTGGCTTGATCAGGGTTCAGCTTGATCAGCCAGACTTCTTATGGACAAAGAGCAGATTCCTTGGAAGGAATGTGAGCCGTGAGTCAGAATTGTGAAAGGGGGTAAAATAACCATATTGTAAAAATATGAACAGGCTTCAAAAAGTTGGTGGGAAAATTCAATTATCTTTTAATTCCATTTTTTCCACAAACTTTTTGAAGCCCCCTTATAAATCAGTTTATGATAAAATGCCAGCCTTGACAAAGACAGAGTCAAATTTCTCCATTCAACATAAAGATGGGCAGGGAGTCAGGGTAGGAAACACGATGGTGATCAGAGCAGATGGTGTCTGCTCTCTGAGGTACCAAAAAGTTGGGCCTGAGCTCCTTCTATAAGTGGAAACAATTCAGAAAAGCAACGAATAACATTTTTTAAAATTTTTTATTGTGAATTGAGTGAAGGTTTACAGACAAGATCATCTGCTTTACATTCAACAAATCATACACTTTGTTTCTTCTCAATGATTACAATCCCCTCCCTGCAACAATAGGCATCCTACTTCCTCTCTGTGCTTCCCCATTTACATCTTATACTTCACAAATGAACAAAGCAAAAACTATTTAATGCACACAAACAAAACAAAAAACATATATTCATTTAAATGCCCAAAGGGCACATTCTGCAAGCCAGCCTCCTGCCTGCAGGTATACAGCCTTTCTCAGTCCACGGGCCTAGAGTCCACAGCTGCTCTGTCTCTCCATGCCACTCACTGCCTCTGCCGTCACTGCTTTGCTAGGTAGGATCTCACACTCCACTCATGTTCTTCCCTCTTGATGGTCCTGGGATCCTCTGTTCCTGAAATGAAACTACTCCCCCCTTTTAGTTACACAAGAATTTATTTTTTTAAGAAACTGAGGAGAAGGGGTCTACGTGGTCTGTCTTTGCCTCCTCCTTGCTCTTGACTCCACCAGCTCAAGTCTTCTATCACCAAACACAAGTTTGAGAAGGCCCCTACCCACCAAGCCAGGACGTAATAATAAAAGATTACTCCCTGAGGAGACCAGGCTGATGCAGACACCATCATTACACCATGTGAAAACCTAAACAAACAAAAAACCCAAACTCACGCCATCAATTCCAACTCACAGCCACCCAATCTAGGCTTTCCAAAATTGTAAATCTTTATGGGAACATACAGCCTCATGAGGAGGATCTATAATAGCATTAACAGTTACTGTACACTTAGCACTGGGCCTGGCACAGTTTAAGTGCTTCACAGACATCACCTCATCCCTGCAAGGTGTAAATGATTAACACACCTGTTACACAGAGAAATAGCTCAGAAGTTCAGCAACTTGGCCAAGGACACAGAGCTGAATGGCAATGTTTATGCCTTTGACTATTACATTACCCCAGCTTCCCATAGAAACAGGAGCCCCTTGATAGATCAGCTACCTCTGGTGCCCTTTGGTTCTGAGAAGGCTCTTTGGTAAGAGAAACCCACGTGGGGTAGGGAGGTCCAGTGGGTGCCCTATGGAAGAACGAGCCCAGACACCCTGGGTAGAGCCTCTGCCCAGTCCTCAGCTGTACACTCCTGACTTGGCATCTTCACTCTGGATGCTGGTGTCAGAGCTGCTGGAAAGCTCGTCTGGAGAGGCAGCTATGGCAGATGGGGCTGACAGTTTCAGCTTTTGCTGCTTCTGATACTTGACTCTGCGATTTTGGAACCAGACCCTCACCTGTAATTGGGAGTAGTGGGCAGAGATCAGAATGTGACCAGCAGTTCCTGCTGCTTCCCCATCCTTGGTATGTCCATCTCTCTCTGCCTGGAAGAAACTTGCTCTTTCTTCTAAGGGAAGCACTTCTTCAAAAGCACTCTTTCCTAGAATTCCAGTCACCATTTATTAATTCAATCAATAAGAATCTAATGAACTCCGACTCTGTGCCAGGCATGGTCCTAGGTAATGGTGATACATGGAACTCACAGTCTGGTGGAGGAAGACTAGTTACCAAACATTTAAATAAATAAAGTAACATGTAAACACAAATGAAGGTGGAAATAAGAGGCTGGGTAGGAGGAGTCCCCCTGAGGGACCAGCACTTAAGGCTCAGAGCAGGAGAGGTCAAATTATAAGAAATAGAAAAGAGCAGGGTAGGGAACAACCTATAGGAGGGCTATGAAGTTTTGTTGTTGTTAAGTGCTGTCGAGTTGGTTCTGACCCATAGTGACCCTGAACAGGGTTTCTGAGGCTGTAAATCTTTACAGGAGCAGAAAGCCTCATCTTTCTGCCACGGAGCAGCTGGTAGTTTCAAACTGCTGACCTTGTGGTTTTCAGCCTGATTTGTAACCACTGTGCTACCAAAGCTCCTTAATGTGTTCAAGGACCAGAAAGGGGGGTTGCAAGGCCAAAATCTGAGAATGAAAGAGGAAAATGAAGGGAGAAAAGTAGATGAGGTTTAGCGGGAGTCAGATCACCAAGGATCTTGAAGGTCATGGGTAAAGAGTATCAACTTTGAGACTTTCTAAGTGAGATGTGACATAATCCTATTGACATTTTAGGTGAATTGTATGCCTGGCTACTGTGTGAAGAATGGATTAAAGGAGAAGCAGGAAAAAGTTGAGCCAGTAGAGAGAGGTGTGGGGAGTATGAATGAATGCCAATGGAGAGACATGAATAGATTCTAACTATATTTTGGAGGTGAAGATGACAGCCTTGCTGATGGATTAGAAGTGAGGAATAAGGAGGAATAAAAGATGAATAGATGATAGGGTCATTTATGAGGAAAGGAACAAATCTGGAAAGGGAGGGAAAAATCAACAACTGAAACTTAGATTTATTAACTTTGAAATGCCTACCCATAGACATCCAAGGGAGACAATGTACAAGTCAGAAGAGGAAGGGCAAATTTGAGACTTATCACCTTATTGATGGTGTTTTAAACCATCTAGGTGAGCCAGCTGAGTGTAGACGAAGACTGTTGGAGAGATTTTGTAAAGTCACAAAGTGGAAACGCAGTCTGCAAAGGAGATAGAAGACGTCGCCAAAGAGCTGGGACAAAAACCAAGAGAACATGGTGTCTTGGATGTCAAGAGAAGAGTGTGCTTCAATAGAAGGAGTGATCAACTGCATTGAGTGCTGCTGGGTCGTGGAGTAAGATAAGAGAAGCTAAGTACCTACTGGCTTTGGCAACATAAGAGCCAGCAGGAACCTTGATGAGAAGTTTTTATAGAATGGTAGGGAAAGACATTACATTGGAATGAATTGAGGCAGTGAGCCAGTGAGCGAGGCACGTTCTTGGGAAGTGTGCCCATGAAAGGAAGAGAGAAGTGGTACAATAGCTGGAGGACAATATAAGGATGAAGGAAGCGTTTATTATTTCTTAATATCTACCCCTCTTGAACACCTACTTGAATTCACTGTCTGCTCCTTTACATTTATTTGGAGTCCTAGTATGGTGTTACTACTAGGACTCCAAATAAAACTAAAGGAGCAGACAGTGAATTCAAGTAGGTGTTCAAGAGGGGTAGATATGGTATTGACCAATAAACAACATTCTTATCAACGGAGAAAAGACTGAAGTTGTCAAGGACTTCTTTCTTCTTGGATCAACTACCAACACTCATGGAAGCAGCAGTGAAGTAATCAAATGAAGTATTGCATTAGGCAAATCTGCTGCACAAGACCTTTTTAAAGTGCTGAAGAGCAAAGATGTCAGCTTGAGGACTAAGGTGTGCCTGACCCAAACCATGGTATTTTCAATAACCTCATATGCATGTGAAAGCTGGACAGTGAATAAGGAAGACTGTAGAAGAATTGATGCTTTTGAGTGATGGTGTTGGAGGAGAATACTGAAAGTGCCATGGGCTGCCAAAAGAACCAATAGATCCGTTTTGGACAAAGTGCAGCCAGAGTGCTCCTTGGAGGCCAAGATGGCCAAACTTCGTCTCTCATACTTCAGATATCTTGTCAGGAGGGATCAGTAGCTGGAGAAGGATATCATATTTGGTAAGGTGGAGGGTCAGAGAAAAAGAGGAAGACCCCCAATGAGATGGGCTGGCCAAGTGGCCATCATTGGTGGACAATAGTGAGGTTGGCTCAGGATCGGGCAGTGTTTCGTTCTGCTGTGCATAAGGTTGCTATGGGTTGGTACTGACTCAATGGCACCTAACAACAACAACAGTATGGTGTTATAGGATAAGCATTAAACTGCTAACTGCAAGGTCGGTGATTCATACCCACCAGCTGATCCTCGGGAACCCTATACAGGGTCCCTATGAGTCGGAACCAACTCAATGGCACTTAAAAATAACAATAAGTTTCTTTATTTAGCATGTTAATATTACAATTAAAACTCTAGATTAAGATCTGGATTCACTTAAGTGTTGTTCCCATAATGTAATTTCAAATGGGATTGTTTTTCTCATCATTTAGAGTATACCAATGGTTAGAGCCCTTCTCCTCCAATGCCCTGGAATAGAAGAGAAAGGTCCATGTCCCTCCCGCTTTGTCCCTCCCAGAAAGTAGTGTCTGTTCCCAGGTACAACCCAGGCCCCACAGGATCACCTGCTCCCACCTGGTTTTCCGTTAGGTTGAGCCGGGCTGCCAGCTGGGCTCTCTTCTTTCCCACCAGGTTGTGTTGTTTTGCAAACATTTTCTCCAGCTCTACTAGCTGCTCCAAGTTAAACATAGTTCTAACTCTCTTTTGTTGATTAGTGTCATGAAGGTCCTCAGCTGTGGACCAGGCTGGGGGATCCCAGAGGCCTGTGCAGTGAGTCAGCTCCAAGCCTAAAGAGCAAGAGCAAGCATCAGGAGGGGAGGTTAGCTAGCACCTACCCATCCACCCTTTTTGAAGGAAAGAAAATAAGCACACAGCTCTATTCCCTGCCTAGCCCTTGGCTAGGAAACAGAGCAAGAGGCACAGTAGGGAGAGACAGCATAGAAATGAAGAGATCAAGAGACAGAAAGGACCATTTCTGCCTCCACGACTTTCTGCTGAATGGCTTAAGCTCTGGCCCTGGTTGTTGTTAAATTCTACTGAGTTGGTTCTATATAGCAACCCTGTATAGAACTAGACTATACAAAGACTGGCTAGTGGGTTTAGCAGTGCAGTGCTTATCCTCCAGGCCCTAGTAGGAGATGGCAAATCTCTGTGTCTCTTTGCCCTCATTCTCCTTCCCATGGCTACTTCAGGAAATCTCATGGGTTAAGCAGAGAAGGCACCTCTAGGGGTTCACCCTTTTCATTCATTCAGCAAATACTTTTTGAATGCCAACTATGTGTCAGACAAGAGTCAACGACATGTGCTGACGACCGGGGCACAGTCTTGCAGGGTATACCCTTTGGTTGTTTGATGATGCAAGGAGTGGATTGTAATCATGGCAATGAAATAATATACGATAGGATGAATGTAAAGCTAATGTTCTCCCATGTAAACGATCACATAATTCATAATAAAACATTAAAAAATAAAAATAAAAAAGAGTCAAGGACAAAACAGAAAATCCCTGTCTTTATGAATTTATTAATTAAATTGTGTTCCCACAAAACATGTGCTAAAATTCTAACCCCTGTACCTACACTATAAATGAGGGGCTCTGGTGACACAGTGATTAAAGTACTTGGCTGCTAACAGAAAGGTCGGAAGTTTGAACCCACCAGTCACTCCATGGGAGAAAGATGTGGCAATTTGCTTCTGTAAAGGTTATAGCCTTGAAAATGCTATGGAGCTGTTTAACCCTGACTCACATAAGGTTGCAATGAGTTTGAATTGACTAGACAGCAATTTGTTTTTGTTTTTTGTGTTTGTGCATGGCCCTATTTGGAAAGAGGGGAATTTGATTAGTTGTTGTTAGGTACCCTGGAGTCGGTTCCTTCTCATAGTGACCCTGCATAGTGTTTCTGAGGCTGTACATCTTCACAAGTCTCATCTTTCTCCTGAGGACCAGCCAGTGGGTTTGAACTGCCGACACTGTAGTCAGCAGTCCAGTACTTATCCTAAAATGCCACCTACACGCCACAAAATAGTGTAGTTTTTGCTAAGTGCTGTCAATTCAGTACCAACTCATAATGACCCTGTATAGGGTTTCCAAGGAGCAGGTGGTGGGTCTGAACTGCTGATCTTGTGGTTTGCGGTCCAGTGTTGATCCTACAGCGCCACACCAGGAGTCAAAAAAAAAAAAATATGGAACGCTTCACGAATTTGCAAAGTAGGTCCTAAACCTCATCACTTCTGAGTTATAAAAGGGTAGAATGACACAGAGACATACCCAGGGGTAAGGTGTCATATGAAGCAGCAGTTACAAGTGCAAGTCCAGGAAAGCCAGAGATTGCTGGTTTCTAGAATTTGAAATCGATAAAGACAGACCTCCTTTTAAGCCACACACTGAATTAGATCTCACTGGTAGTGTAGTGGTTACGAATCAGGCTGCTAACCTCAAAGTCGGCACTTCGAAACTACCAGCTGTTTCACGGGAGAAAGATGAGGCTTTCTGCTTCTGTAAAGATTCATAGTCTCGGAAACCCTGTACAGGGTCATTATGAGTCAGAAATGACTCTAAGGTACTTAACAACAACCCTCCTGAAACGAGTCCTGGTGTGCATAAGCACTGGACTGCTAATGGCAAGGTTGGTGGTTCAAACCCATCAGCTGCTCCTGATTCTGATGTGAATCCTGGTATAGGATAGGCACTGGACTGCTAATGGCAGGGTTGGTGATTCAAACCTATCAGCGGTTCCTGAGTCTAGGAGTCAGAATTGACTCAATGGCACTTAACAATAACAAAAACAGCCTTCTGAACAAGAGCGAAAATAAATTTCTTCTTTAAAGCCGCCATCCACTTGTGGTATTTCTGTTATGGCACGGCTAGAAAACAAACATATAGGCATTTTACAAGTGAGGTGTATAAGACCTGAACAATTTTTTGCTCCTGTTTTCCTCATCGGGGACATAAAGCTATGATGAGCCAGGAAGCCAAAAATGATAAAAACTCATTTTTGTTGTTAAGTACTATCAAGTCAATTCTGACCTCTAGCAACCCTATATAGGGTTTCCAAGGAGCAGCTGGTAAGCTTGAACCATTGACTTTACAGTAGAAATGGCTTTACAATCTGGCACATTAACCCACAGCGCCACACCAGGACACCCATGTAAGTGTATGTTAGTTAATGCTAGAAGAGAAAGTTACCTCTGTAAATTCTCCCTGGGATTGCAGTGACTGGCATGCCAGTGTCCTTTCCCTACCCTATTGCTGTTGTGAAGTGCCATCCAGTGAGTTTCCACTCATAGCCACCCTATACAGGGCTTTGGAGGAGCAGCTGGTGAGTTTGAACTGCTGACCTTGCAACTCAAACTGACCTTATGGTCCAGTGCTTATCTTACAGCCACACCAGGACTGCCCAGGTTATACCATGAGAGTGTATGACCCATGAGGCTCAGAGTAGTCAAGAGTAGATAAAATCCAAGTTCACTGATTGTGAGGGTTGGAAATGTAAAGGTAGACGTTTTGTAGCAAGGAAGGATTAACTCTCCAGTCTAGGAGTGGAGGTCTCTAGGACCATCAATGGAGAAGAGCCGAGAGCAGGACCCTACCCAGAGAAGCAGCTA